ACTTAAAATATCCTCCCACAGCTTTCTTCCCTCCTTTCCCGAAGTGCTGTTTCTAGCAAGCAAATACTTGTGCCCTTCTTGGAATGAGCTAGGTCCCATCACATTGTCCACCACCCTTCCTACTCCTCATGTTCTCCGAATGTTACTGTGTGGAAAGTAGTGAGTGTGGCAACAGAAACCCAGCCAGGCCGCAGCTTATGAAAGTCTGTGAAAACTACTTAGGGTCTCCTGCAATCCCACGGTATTTAACTCTCTGTTACAGTACTTAAAACAACCAGAGGCAGTCCTGTGTGATTTTTTTTTCCCGCTGAGGTCATTTAATATCAGATCACGATTAAACATCGCCATGTTAATTATGAGTTCTTGATAACAAATGTAGGTGAAATACTTTATTTAGATTACAACATGACAAGCAAATTCACTTTATCTGACACTGAAAAAAAAATCATGGGCAAGAGTGATACAACATTTTAGTTTTGATGCCACAGACAAGGCACAAGTAACTGGGCAGGTGACTCTCGTGACACAGATTTCTGACCCCTTTGTTGCTCCTTCTGTTCCCCTCTTGTGTGTTCCCAAAGGGAAGGTTCTCACTGGAGAGTGTCTAATCCCTACATGCACTGAAGGTGCCAGATGGTTCACTTCGTAGCAGGTTACCCTGAACCCCGGCATCCCGAGTCTAGATGAGTTTGTAGTTTGGCTCAGAAATGCTTCCTCAGAAAGGGAACTGAAGCAGCTTGTTGTCAAAGCCTTTTCCCCTCGCAGCACAGCTAGTGAAAAAGAAACCATCCTTGAGGGGGGCTGGCTCCCACGCAGAGCTCCGTTGGAGTGGTGCTAGGCTGGCCAAGTTCACCGCCTGGAGGCGCTGGTGGGCGTGTGACTGAGCTTAGGGTCCAGGGCTGTCTGCTCCAGGGGCGGATCAGCGGGGTACCAGTCCCGTGGGTGTGGCAGCAGTCGTGGGGGAAGAACCCTAGACAGGCAGAGGGCCTGGCTGTACAACTTTAAAGACCTTTGGACTATCGGCAAATCGCTCAGCTTTTCTCGATGAGGAGGCCACAGCATCCCCCTTGCCGCGGTCGCAGGAGGGTGTTAGGATCAAAGGATATAATGCCTGTGGAAGTGCTCTGTAAACAGTAATGCACCATGAAAACAACACAAATGCTGTCCATATTGAACTTATCGCCCTCAGGCAGGGCCAGAACTCAGGATGCTGCTTTAAGCAGCTCAACATTGTCTGTTCCACTCTGATGGTAAATGCCTCTCCTGTCAGCTCCGCGGACCAGCCTCCCGGGTGACGAGGAGGTAGGACCCTAGCAGGAAAAAAACAGGCACTTTTTTCCTCCGGGACTTTAAGTACCTGAGGCCCTATTTTGGTGAATTTGGGTCTCCACATCCTATAAATCAAATTTTGAACTCTAGCGAGATTTTGGCAGTATCTAAATCTGATGTTGGAAGGAGGGTATATGATGTAGATTTTCTTATTCCTGCCCGCCCCGCTTGGGTCGTTAAGGTGGAGGTGGGAGTCGACCAGCCAGGCTGATCAACTTCAAAATATTTTTGAACACTTCAAAAAATGATTTGCCATTTCCCCAGTGGTCTCTTTTCTTTCTACTCATGATCTAAGTTTTGCTCAGAATGACATCAAGGAAATGAGAAAATTACCTGTAATTCCTGTTGTCAGATCTGAGATTGTCACAATAGATCATTATTCTAGGATTAGAAACATCTAGAACTGGCTCCTGGGGGGTATTTCCAGTCTTCCTTTCTCTCTGCCTCACAGTTCTCCTACCTCTGGACCCTGGTGAGCCAGTCACTACCGTGGTAGCCAGACTGCTGGGCGCTGCACCACTGCTAGCCCCGGGGGAGTAAGAGAACCTCTGCGGACATCCCCCGAGCCCCCGGAAGCCTGAGGACCAGCTGCTCGGGGCACACCACAGGTATGACCCATCTAGTGCTGCATTCCCCAAATGCATCTGATCACAGGGCTCTTCTGAAATATTTTTTAAAAGAACCCATATTCACTCCAGACCCACCTAATCAATCTCCAGGGTGGGTGGGGCCCAGCAGTATTATTTTTAACAGCAATCGCGGAATTTGTATGGTTAGGAAATTTGGGGAAACACTGGTCCAGCAGAAGAGATCTATAGGCTTGGAATCCAAAGGCCTAATTAGATTTGCAACTTCACTAATGGCAATGCTGGTTTATTTCTCCATCTATAAAGAGAAGGGATGGATCAACAATATCTAATACGTCAGCCTCCGAAGGTCATCAAGTAACCTAGTCAGGTCACCTGTGTGCTGTCTTTCAGAGTATTTAGAAATACTTACAGACAGGGCTAGGTGTTTTCCGCATGGACTGCCTCGGGCTAGAGGGGCAGGGCCCCCAGGTGCCCAGTGAGGATGATGTGAAGGGAGACGAGAGGCCCGTTATCTCTGCCAGACTTTCTCTGCGTTGGGGAGGGTCGCCAGCAGCACTCGCAGCGGCAGAACTGAGCCCCCGGAAAAGCAGATGCCGAGTTCCCCGGGAGCGAGCCTGGGAGGATCGGCTGACACGTACCCTCAGGTCCGGGGAAAACGTCCCCAGCTTCCTAGTGAACCTATGCATGGCCTAAAGGAAGCTGTTCTAGGGGACACCTCTTGCCACCTGCGTCCACACCCCCTTCTCCAACACATCCCTGACTCAGCTGTGACTCACAGGCACACAGCAGCTCCGGCATCATCCCTCCGGGCCCTCTGCCTCGTACTGCTCCCCATCCTAATCCATCTCTTCCAGTCAGATCTTTTTTTAAGACTGGCTTTTCAGAACATTGAGCTTATCTTTAAACACAATGGATAGACAAACACACACAACATTTAAATATCAAAATATACCCATTTAAATTTAAAAACTTTAATTCTCTGGGTTTGTTGTTATCCATAGCAATATTTCACATTATGTGCATAAAATCTCCTACTTCTTTCTTGGGCATGTCTTATTTCCGCTATTCAACTGCAGGGTCCCAATGGACAGAGATCGCGTCTTATGCAAGACATTCTGTACCCCCAGTAAAAGCTAGGAAGGAAGGTAATATTTATAAGCCCTTCCTCTGTGGGAAACACTATTCAGGGAAGAAAATAAAGGACCCACTGGGAAAAGCCGGGGTGCCGAGGATGGCCAGCTTTGCCTTTACTTGCCCAGCCAGTTCTTGTCTCTATCCTCATACCCAGGAACAATAGTGCGCGCTCACTCTCTCTCTCTATCTCTCTGCAAGTTTCAGGGATTTATGCAGCCCTACAGGGGACAACCTGGTCCGATCTCCCCAGGTTATTTCAGGAGCCTGTTGTCTTCGTGTTCTCCTATTGCATGGTCTATAGTTTTGTTCTTTGGAATTGCAGGTTTCCAATTTTAGTAATTCTTTCTCTATGACTCCCCGAACCATCTCCAAAATCCTACATGCCCTCGGCTAACAAAAGCAATAGGTCTGGTCTCTGCAGCTGGTGCTATGGGGCTCTTTGGTGGAGAGAAGCCTGACACAGTGCTCAGTTGAAGAGATAATAGCTCTGCAGCTACCCAATATTCTCCAGGATTGCCTGAACAAGTTGGAATCCAAAGCTGGTGACTAAGAAATGATGATGTTTAGTCATCTTTCCCATCTGATGTGGGGCCCAAACAGATGGGACCTAGGCTCTCAGAGGCCGGGGACACCAGCAAGTCTAACACTCAGCACCAGGTTATGGCACGCGTCTTCCTGCCCTTGAAAGTGCCAGCACTGGGCTGAGCTGTCCCTGGTTCCTCTCAGGCCAAAGCCACCACAAAGTCCTTTGGTAGGCCAGGTCTCCTCCAGGCAAGGATAGCAACTCATCCTCCCGACCTTCACCAGCCACTTCTTTATTTCCTTGCACATGTAGGACTGTTTTGGACAGGCCGCGAAATAAAGATCCCAGTGGAATGGTGCCCTGAGACTAGGGCCCAGCTCCGGTAGGTGGCTCTGGACAAGACCAAGAAGATGCTGAAGAAGAAACCTTCAGAGGTTGCCCGTGGACTCGAAGACAGAAAGTTGACCACTGCTGGGAGGCCAAGCATCATTGTCTCCCAGTGATTTTTGATCCAACCATGTGTCCCACCATAATGGTGCAGGGTGAAAAGCTTTGGCAGATGTTTGCCAAAGAAAGTGGAGACTGTGAGACACCTAAGGGGTTAGATGGAGTCGGGGATTAAGGGACGAACACCGAGACAAAGAGAAACAGCTTGTCCTTGAAGAGAAATGAACATTTGAAGGGTGCACGCACTTCTCATGCCTTGGGTCGGAAAGAATTTGGGCTGGGCTCAGCTAGGCCGTTGTCCCATCGGGCTTGATGGCTCGCACAGCTGTTTGCAATCAGCTGAGACTCGACAGGCTGTCAGATGGGATGGACGGGGTACTGGGCCTGTTCTCATCATGTGGCAGGACAGCCCAGGCTTGTTTACCTCGTGGCGATTGCAAGAGAAAATAGGCCCCATGCACAAGAATTTTTCAGGACTCTGTTTGTGTTACATTTGTTTTGGGCCACTGGCCAAATCAAATCACTTGGCCCATCCCAGATTGGACGGGTGGAGAAACGGACCGCACCTCTTGCTGAGAAGGGAAGAAAGTGTGGCCATTTCTTGCAATCTGTACAAACTGCAAAATCCGGAAATATCTAGCTTTGGGATTTAGGCAAAATCTATCACTTAGGCCAGGGTGGGACCAGGAAGTGCTCCTTCCTGAGAGAACAAGATCCCTCGTTTCCCAACGCATCTGGAGCAGCAGCCTGGTGAGGCGAAGGGACGCACGTTCCACCCATCCCTGGGGTCCTGGAATGACAGAGCTGGGACGGCAGGAACAACTCATGGCGAATGAAGTATAAAACCAGAGAAGACTGGGATCTGAATTTGTGGGGAAAATGGCCCACGTTCAAAGTAGAGTGAGATCATAGATTCTTTTCCTCTTAAATTTTTTTGTCATTCTCTATTTTGCATAATTGTTTTCTCCTTCTTTTTTCCTTCCTCCTCTCTTTCATGTATTTTAAGCATTTTTCAAAAGGCACCTGATGACAATTTAATCAGAGTGCAGAGGGAAGTGGGGCTCTGTGGGTGGCACCAACATGTGGAAAGTCCAGGAGAAGGGAGGACGAGGAGAGCCCTTAACGTCCACGACTCGGATGTCACTGTGCACAGCGGAAAGAGAAAAAGCAGTTTAAGTTCTCAGAATGGAAAAGAAATAGCACTTACACTGCTTTTCAAAAAGGGATACTCTCTTTTGTCTTGTTCTAGCCACTCAAGAGCTGTCATTCAAAACAGCAAATTGAAGTCACTTCTGTGATTGTCCTGCAGGTCACTGTCACTGAGCTCACCAAGGGGCCTCTGATTTTAGTGTAACAATAGTCATTGCCTCATGACTGGGAGGAGATGGGGATAAAAGGTATATTTTGCCTAAAGCTATCTTCTGTTGTCAGTACAAGATCTTCTTCTAATAGTAGTAATGTTTTTCTGTCTCTAAGCACAGCACAGGAGGCATAGAAGAACATACTGGAGGACGAGGCAGTTTCTAGAGATCAGCAGTCCAGAGCTAACTCCCTTTCAGAACTGGAAAAGGAATCCTGGTTCAGCTACGGAAGAACATCAGGCAGGATGAACTCAGTGGGTAAGACACTCCATGTGTGGGAATGTTCTCACACACAGTCATCTTCTTGAATTTCACATGCTAGTTGGATGTACGCTGAGGTTTGGAATCAGCCTTCCTTAAAGGCTGCCCCCCCATCCCTTGCCAAAGCAAAGATCAGCAAATCTTCTGAGGTGGTGGCCAGAGAAGGTCCCGGGCCTGCTGGCTCTTAGGTTTGTGTCTTGTCCCAGTGGTCTGCTTCTGATTTCTAGTCACCCAGAGAAGTGTCTTCAAAAGAAACATCAGACCACAAGGGACATCCTGGTTGGAAAGTCACTCTGGAAAAGAGCAGAAAGGGCACAATGTGAAACCACGCAACGGTTAAAGAAACCCAACACAACATAACAGATGGTTCCCCGGGCAGAGTCCACACCCTGTCCAGAATCTGGCACAGACTGACTCCGGGCATCTCGTTAGGCTTGTGGTTACGGTCCCGAAGCCTCAGTTGGTGCTGAAGCCAACATACATCTGACAGAACTTAGTTCCACGGCCACAGAATGACTTCCCAGCCCTCTAGGGCTAGCCACAACATTCATGGCCAGTGTGGACGGAGCAAACGAACCCGGCATGACCCGGAAGTTCACTCCCTGCTCATGGTACTTCACGGTCATGTCATTGTTCTCTTTAGAGAACAAAAGAGATCTGTTTTAGAGGAGTCAATACCTTTTTTCCATTTGTCTTCTCTCCCCATACTACGTGCTAAAGAAAACGACCCTCTTGAAGTATGAAAATCAAAATGGTGGAAGAGGCAGGGTAACTGAGGAGGGAGCACAAGCACTCGGGCTCGCAGAGCGGCCGCCAAGGCACGGTGGGGAGAGGCACTTTGGCAGCCAGAGTGGACATCTGCGACTGTCCCCCCGCGTTTCTCTGAGCCGCGGAGCTCACACCTGGGGGCTGAGGGACGGACTGGGCTGCTCTTGGCATTTACAGAGACAGCAATCAAAGCTCCATAAGGCCAGTTACAGAAGAGACGGTTAACTGGGCAGCGGCCGAAAGGTCTCCCTCACCTGCCCGGGGCACAGTTCACAGTCTACCTTCAGCACAGCGTCAGGGGAGGGGAGCGAGCTGTCCTTCAGACACAGCGGTAGCCGCTGAACTCCTCTGGGACCTGAGCGCTCTGGGAATTTACGCCAGTCACAAACCCTCCCGCAAGCGGGAGCTGGGGAGGAAGGCGCAAGAGGCACGCCTAGAACGTTCTGCGCCAGAGCTCAGGCGTCCTCCCAGATGTCTGCGGCGGTCACGAGGCCCCGCATGCCCGAGGCTACCTGCTTCTCAGGGCTGGGCTCGCGGCCGAGACTCTCCACGAAGCACCTGCTCCTTCTGCTTCTCGCCCCCGGCCAGGGCCTCCGCTCACTGCCTGCGGCTGGTGCCAGGCCGGGCCGGGCGGGCCCCCGAGCCGCCGCGCTCCCCTCCCCGGCCCCCGCCCCCCCCCCGGCCCCGCCGCCCCGGCCCGAACCCCCCTGCGCGGGAGGCGCCGGGCTGGGCCCCACCGTCTTCTTGGCGGGCTCCTTCTTGCGCTTCTTCTCCGAGTTGCTGTGGTAGGGCAGGTCGCGGCCGCGGTAGGACGGGCCGCGGCTCAGCTCGCGCTCGCTGTAGGGCGGCAGCGGGTCGTCGGCGGAGTCGTCGTCGTCGTCGTCGTCGTCCTGCGGCGCGGCCGCCTTGTAGGTGGAGGGCGGCGACCAGGCGTAGTAGGAGGCGCTGCGGCGGCCGAGCTGCGCGCTCAGCCGGGACGGCGTCTCCAGGCTGCCGCCGCGGCTGGCGCCCTCGGGCCGCGCCTGGCGCTCCAGCGCCCCGGCGCGCGGCCCGTGCTCGTACTTGGGCGCGGTGCCCGGCGTGCGGCTCACCAGGCGCGGCAGCGGCGCGTCGTCCGGCCGCCGGCGCGGGGGGCTGGGCGCCCAGGCGCGGCCCGCGTCGCCCAGGGGCTCCCGGCTGCGGCCGCGCGGCCCGTAGTACTCGTCGGGCGAGCCGTCGGGGTAGAAGCCGCCCAGCGCGCGCGCCTCCGAGCGCTCGAAGCGGCCGCCGCCGCGCGCCTCGTGGCTGTCGCCGTCGGCCCGGCGGGAGCGCGCGGCGTAGGAGTCGGCGAAGGCGGCCAGCTCGTCCATGGACACGGCGGGCACGCCGGCGGCGAAGTTCTTCCGCGACAGCATCTCGGACTTGGAGCGCTGCTGGCTGCGGGCAGAGCGGGGGGCGGTTAGCCGCCGAGGCGGGCGCGCGGGGCCGGGCGGGGCAGAGCGGGGTGCCCCGGGCTGGCTGCGCGGTCGGGGGTGGGCACCGCCGCGAAGCGGGGCCCCCGGGGCTCTCTCTGGAACTCGTGCTAAGGACCAAGACGGGCTGGTGTGGGTAGAACTCCTTTGTGATTCAGACGGTGCCGAGGCACACAGCGGGGCCTGGTGGTGGTGAGTCTGACTTGTGGTTGACCAGCACAGGCCTCCCTTCTCCCAGCCTCGAAGCCGGGGGCCTGGCGTGGCCGTCGTGACCGGCGTGGCCGGCGACCCAGGGTGACCCTGCAATACTCGGTGATGCAGAGAAGCCTCCTCCTGCCTCAGGGCCCCGAGGCCGACGTATCCCTGCGAGTTACCCGCAGTTGGTGAGAGAAAGGCAGTGTCTACTGTGCTTCAAGATAAAGGCCAGGTGCGGTGACCGTGCTGTTCAGTGGGGAGCAGCCATACGAAACGGGGAGCACATCTTGGCCTCCCACACCACCGGCCAGGTGACTCTAGGGAACGTCTGTACTTTTCGGTTTCCCCATCTTAAAACGGGACAACAGTCCCCACCTTTTAGAGTCACGAGACTCAATCAGTGTAACGTCTGGTATTTCACCTTTCACATAACGATGATCAAAAATGGTGGAGGGGCACCTGGGTGGCTCGGTGGGTAAAGCACCTGCCTCTCGGTTTTGGCTCAGGTCAGGACCTCATGGACTGTGAAATTGAGCTGATGCTGGGAGTCCGCTTGAAGAACCTCTCCTGCCCCTTCTCCCGACTTGCGCGCTCTCTCTCAAATAAATAAATCTCTTAAAAATGGGGGAGATGATGGATGGGAATTTTTAGAGGATGTAGGATAAAATATTATGAGAAAGGCAAGGAAATGTTAATAAGGTTCATTAAGGAGCACAGAGTCCCCATTTCAAAGGGACTTGGCTATGATTGCACATGGTGTCACAGGTGTCCCTTTGCTTAATAAACATGAGAAGGGGATGTTCAACAGCCCAAAGAGAGCTGTGGCAGGACAACCTAGAACAGGAGACAGTGATGCTCTCAGAAAACAGCTGTCTCAGAGCCACGCCTGTCTGCCAGCTCCAGCCCCTTCACCCCCGGCCCCACAGCTGCAGCCTGGTGCGGCCACCTTCACCTGTACCTGAAGCTCTCCCGATCCTCCTTGTTATACTCCATGGCCGAGGGCCCCCGGCTGGCCCCGCTGCTGCCTCCCACGACCCCGGACCAGTAGTCAGGATTGCTCTCCAAGTCCCCGGACACCGGGAACTGCTTGCTTCTCATCTGGTGGTAGGCCTGGCGGAAATTGCTGTCGTCCTCATGCAGGGAGCTGAGCTCGGAGATGGTGTTGTTATCTGCAGGGACAAAACCAGGCATGACTGAGCTTTCTACGTATTAGGAAGGGAGCTCTGTTAACGGCTCTGGGGAAACTGCCTCCCGAAGGCTTCAATCCTGTTCTGCTTTAGTTGTAACCTGAACTAACAGTGTCTGTGTTCTTAGCTCAGCAGGAACGGGCTCCGTCCAGAAGCCCACTGGCTTATAGAGAGGGAGGCTTCCTACATGCTCTGTTCTTAAAATAGGAAAATAATTGTTACTGTTCCACCTAAGGCACGTTTCCCAGAACTTGGGCTCTTTGCAGCTGGTTTCCTCCTAAGGTGTCATCATCCTTGTTCCAGTGTTTTTCTTCTTGTAGAATTCTGTGAAAGCTACGATGATCCCGGGCATCTTGAGCCAAAAGGGACAAAATGAGAGAGAACCCACAGGTCACAAAATCTTCCTCACTGGTGGCCGTGTCCCAGTATGGGCCTTCAAAACCAGTGCGGCCCCATGCTTTCGAGGAACCCCACTCCAGCTTCCTTCAGCTGTGCCCTTCGCCCCAGAGCACAGTCCACAGGGGCAAGGGGACTGCACACCTAGTGTCCAATCATCCCCTTTCTGGACGCTCATCCAGGAACGTGGACTATCCTTCCCAATTGGTACCAAGTTCACTTCCAGGGCCCACAAAGACTTCTTTGCCTCCCTAACGAATATTCCACGTGTGCATGGCCATGGGTGGCTAGGACAGCCGAGTCGAGGTATGGGAAGAGAAGAGGGGCGGCTGCACTCACAGCCTGCTGGCCCCCACTTGTACTCCTCCTACCAAGAAGGGGGTTGTGGTCACAGTTTTCTCATTTCCTACAAAGCGGCCTAAGTAGCATTTTGCAAAAGCACTTGTGAACAAGACAAGAATCACAGTCTAGAAAGAAAGGGGGGGGGGAACCAATAAAAAAAAACAAAACATTTGTTTACAGAACTTTGAAATGGGTTGAATATCATTTTACTTAAAAACACATCTAGTGAATCTATTTGTAATGCAATTGGATCCATTTGTTTTCTAAAATCCTTTGGTCAGAACTTCAAAATATTATCAGAATCAACATTTATAAAGTATAAGGCTTGGCTGTTGAGTAGAAGGTAAGCCAAGATAGGATGTGGGCAGCGCAAATCTGTGTCTCAGGTTCCCCTCTACTTCTCTTCCCTAGCCCCGAGAGTTCTCGGAGGAGCACTCCCACCCACAGAGGAAAGGAAGGGCCTCCCCTCCCTCCCCCTGTTGCATAAACACAGCCTCCTGGTCCTGTTTTATCAGGGTCTGGGCTTACTGAGAATGCCAATCATTTTGGTCATGTAATCAGTTGGTTTTGAATTATAATTTTTAAACCTTTTCCTCCTCCTGAGGAGAATAGACTAGTGAGTCCCCATTTGAAAGGAAAAGAGCTCAGATGCTACTGATTAATAAAATCTAGAACCTTCCTTTTCTCACGATCCCAGTGAATTCTAATCTCCTGGGAGCAGTACAGAAGAGAACTTTAAAATGCCTCAAGTGAAACTATTGAAACATCCCATTGTTGCCTCCGAACTTTCCTTAAACTTCAGGGAACAATGGATCTTTTCCATTTCTCCACATCCTGAGGGCCGTCTCAGCTTCACCGTTCATAGCGACGGACTGTCTAGGCTGTGTGCCGTTCTAACATTTCTGCCACATTGAATGTAAACGTCAACGTCCCTGCTTCACAAACACCTAATAATGTAACTCTAGAACAGGATAGGCAAACTTTCTCTGTACAGGGCCAGATATTAAATATTTTAGTCTTTGCAAGCCACACTGTTACGATTATTCGACTCGGCCACTGCAGTGTGAAAAGAGCCACAGACAACATGTAAGGGAACCAGCCTGACTCTGTTCCAGGACAAGCTTTCCAAGAACAGGAGATGGAACCTATTGGCCCTGGGAGGTGTCGTCTGCAAGATCACCATGCTGGGGTTCTGGACTAAAAATAGCCCAAGTGCAATCCCCTACTTACCAGGGGCAAGGAAAGTGAGGGTCTTACTGGTTAGCAAATTCCCGAACCTGACATTCCCCATTCTTACAGAATCTCGTCACAACCTGAAACCATGAGATCTGGTTTACAATGAGATCTTCAAGACTGTCCCATGTCCATGATCTGTCCCAGGGTTTAGTCTGCTCTTCAGAAAGAGAGCCTGGCAAAGTCAAGTGAGCTGTACTCCCACTTCACCTCTATGCAATTATGGGACCGTCAACCTGCGGGTTCCAGATCTTGGTTCCAGTTGTGGCATGGGTACCGAGGTGCCAACACTGGGTCTTTTCCCTCTCTGCTTCCTTTCTTACTCTGTAAAATGAAGGAGGTGGAGTCAACCACCTCAGTTTCTTCTGTTCCAACATACTAGAAAGTCCTAGGAGGTAGAAGGCTGTGATCTCTGAACAGAAACAGCCGCTACAGCCACGGAGCCATCAGTCGGCTCAAAAACGTCTTGTGTAAAGAGCACAGGACTGGGGATCAGAAGAGCTGTGTTCTAATCCCGGTCCCGTCAGTCACGTCAGCCCTCTGGGTTTCTGTTTCCTCATCTGTACACTGTGCAGACGGACCTCGGCCACCACTAAGGTCCCCTTGGGTGTTCAGATGTCATTACCTTCTGACCAGCCAGTCCCTGGAGACCATTTCAATCCAGGTAGACTGGTGACGTCACCTAAATCAGGCTCCATTCTTCAGTTTCAACCTCAGGTTTTAACTCTTTCCCTGAGCTGAGAGATTCACAGATTTCCTCCCCAGGCTTCTTCTCCTGGATCGCTGTCTCGGTCCCCTCCCAGGGCTCCATGACAACACATTACAACTAACTTGTCAAGTGCAGTGACATCTGCATTCCTGACATTCCAATCTGGAGATGGTCTTTTTATAGGCAGGCCGGTGGGAGGATGAGCAAGGAAGGCAGCTCAGACAGGATGAATTTAGCTTTGCAAACTGGGAGGAATATGTTGTCCTTAATCTGAATACAGCGCCTCTAGTCTGGGACTGTTTCCCCAACAGTTCCATCAAGTCTCTCCTCGCTTCCAAGGCGAGGAGGGTTCAAAGAGAGAGAGAGAGAGGCAGTGACCTCACCACCATGCCAGCCAGCACCCTCCAATAATCTGCCCGTCCATGTCAGACCTGCCCTGAGCCGTCTCTCGTCACCGAGGTAATCTGGAGTCCACCCCAGCACTCAGCCGTGTCCGCTGCGGAGTGTCCGACGGCTTGTGAGTGAAGGCTGGGGTCCTGCCACCTACAAGCTCAGGAACTGGAAAGTTCTTTTGATAAGAGGGGCAGCCTCTTTCCTAGCCCTCAGTCTCTGCCGTTGGGCATCTCAGAGGAACACAGCCTCATTTTCTGCTGGTAGACTTGTCCTTCCGCTGCTTGGAGGCCTCCGTGTAGCAAGTTGGCAGCTGGACCGTTGCTCAATGGTAGGGGTTTTCATGTTGGGGGAAAAACTCACATCTTTAGTCATTATTTTGAATAGAAGGGAATGACCCTTTGAAGAAAACATCCGTAACCCCAGCACTGCCTGGGCCCAGCAAAGCGGACTGCCCCATGGAGAGAAACAGCACGACGCAAGGTGGGAACGACTGCTCTGCCCTTCACCCCAGGAGCCCTTTTTCTCCCTTCTGTGCCCTCAGAGCTGCTCTCTTCAGGACATCGCCAGCACGCCTGCTAGTCCTAAGCCCCAAGAGCTCAGGGCTGCCCACGTTTGGGAATCCCCAAACCCCCTTTAGCTGCGAAGCCCAGATCACGTGCTCACATCTGCCTCTCATCCTTCTGGCTGGATCAAACTGAGCCAGCTCCTTCTCGACGTAGTACAGGACCTTCATGGAGTCTCTCTCTTTGTCAGCCTGAATCCGGTAACCTTTGCGAACTGTGGAGAAAAGGACAGGAAGGGGAGCTGAGAAGAGCCGGAGGTGGCCTCTCTTTACTTTACCAAGTAAAACCCGCAGTTCCTGCTTATGACAACTCTTTTTGAAATCGCCAGAAATAATCAGCTATATTTATACTTATGGAACCGTGACCGAGATCCCTTTTATCAGATGGTGGCCCTGGAATGGAAGAACAGCAGTGCACCACCAAGTTCCCTCACAGTAGATTCGGGGTCATTTGTTAACTTCTGCTTCCTACTTTCTGACCTCCTTAGCTCCACTTAAAGCTCGGGGGCGGGGGGGAGACAGATCTTCTGGACGGAGGACATAGATCATGCTGTAGCATCTGCGGGTCACGTCTTCGCTTGGTGGGAGAACGTGTAAATAAAACAGACACCCAAACATCGGGGACCTTGACGAGGGTGGCCTGAATGCCTCTGGTTTCACGGGGGATAGTGCAAAAATCCCCTCACAGGTGGTGCATACGAGCCAGGATGATAGACTACAAGAAGCGTTTGTGCAAAACGAAAATGAGGGGCAAAAATACATGGATTGCTAACTCTGGTTCCACTTTATTTCTTTGACGTTTTCCTTTCAGGAGAGGGAATACCATACTCCAGACACGATTAATTCCACCTGCTGCTGTGTGGTCAGAAGCAGGCGTTATTTTGGGGGGGGGGCTCAGTAAAGAACAAGATAAAAGCACGAGAGAGAATACCATCTCCTACGCTCCCATCACTCATACTGTCAGGAACAAAGGCTGTTTAAGCCCCACATCACTTAGTATCCGTCAAGTCCAATACCAGCCCCAAGGGTGATCAGACACAGGCAAGTCAAATCTTCACAAATACGAGAAACAGAGAGAAGGACCCAACATGCCAGTGGTAAGAGACAGCATGCATTGAGCTCTCAGTGTGCTAGGTACTGCCCTAATGCTCTGCAGGGACATTTGCTCCTCACAACCCCTAACAAATTTGCTGATAGCCTCAGTTTATGGTCGAGAAAACTTTGGCTCAGAGAGTTTCATGCCCTGCTCGAGAATAATGGGCAGCACAGGGGCTAGACCTACGTAACCTGACTGAAACTCGGGAGCCCAGAAGCGGAGGCAGGAGGGAGCTACCCAAGAGGAAGACAAGAAGGCCCAGAGTAGGAAATGCTCGTAGGTGTGTCCTGGGTGGTGTGATCAGGGGCACAGGCCTATCGGTCCTGTCTTCTGGCCAGTCAGGACTACACAACGGGATGGAAGCAAGTAACCCAACTCCCAAAGCGCTCTTCTCCCACCGTAGGGCAAATACCATAAAGAAACCATATGGCCACGTGTGCCTCCAGAAGAGCCTCCGCATGCTGCTCTCTGGTCACGTGACCCTGGCTGTGGACAAAGTCCCACGTGTGCACAAACGACGCACACGGAGGATTAAAATACTGTACTGCTCAGCGCTCTCCTCACAGCCCTGGCTTTGAAGACCGAGAGAACGCCCCCACACCCATTTGCAGGTGCACTGATGTTCTCTATGAGAACATTCTGGGCCCTTCCTATTCACCTCCACTTGTGGGATTTCTTAAAAAAAAAAAATTAGTGAATCTCTGCACACTCTTTTCAGGAGCACCTTCTCCTGGAGGTTGGAGCCGTAATCCTTAGGCCAAAGCAATTATTAGTAGGAATGATTTTATTTATCAAGCTGCACAGCCTTCCAGCTCTGCAGAGGCGTTTACAGAGTTGTACAGACAGTTCAATTAAAAGGCAATTATCCCACGGAAGTGCTATGTCTGTTCAGAGGCAGTGAGGTCTGATGGATGAAACACAGGGCTCGGAAGGTGGGGAGCCTGGCGTTCGTGGGTACATCTCTGGTTCATTGAGGGACCTCAAGTAAATGATGACCTATCCAGGACCCAGTTTTCACATCTATCAAATGCAGCTAATACTTCTCAACCCTTCTCATCGTAAAAAAGACAAATATAGGAAAAAATAATAATAAAAAAAAAAGACAACAAAGACCAAATCACTAGAGTACTTTGAGTTCTTTGTAATTATTAGGGGCAGCTCAAATAGCACCACATCCAAAAAGCTTTCTCTGATTCTCACAGCTAGAAAGTTCTATCTTTCCCCTCTCTCTCTTTCCATCTCATTTCTCTCTTATAAATCATTTACTTGGAACTTTCATTATGACTCTCAATATATTCTAGTTTGTCCCAAATTCTGTGTATAAAGGTCCAATCTTCCCAAAGATTCTTGAAGGAGAAGAATTCTTATTCTAGATGAGTGTAAAGCCCAGGACACTGCTGAGTAGGCGTTAATGTCTGTTGGAGCTGAACTGAGCCAGTCTGGGGACGGTGGTGAAGTTCATGATTCCTTCGGAAATAGTATTTTTAGTAGAGTTTCCCTCTCTAGCCTGTCAGCTTCCTGAAGGTAAGGACCAGTTCTCTCTGTTTATCTCTGCATCCCCAGCACTTAGCACAGAGCCTGGCACACTGTAGACTCTCAAAACGTGTATGTGCGGATGGATGGATGGATGGATGGGTGGATGGATGGATGGAAATCGGGAATAGAAACTACGAGAACAAGGGAGTACAAGTAAGACCAAAGTAGCCATGTGGTTGCTTTACTGAAGGGTTTTGACCAGGAAGGAGAGGACTTGAATGAAAGCTTGAGGGAGCAGCAAGGCATAGGCAAATTTTGTTGTTATTGTTGATGGTTATTTTTTAAAGGAGAAAACTAGCATTTGATAGGCATCAGGGAACAGGCCTGCTCTACCTGAGCTATGGCTTTATTGGGGTGTTTTTAAGATGTAAAGCTTCTAAGATAAAACATTCAGTCACACTGAGACAGAGTGGAAGGGGGGTTTTGCTTTATAGAACAGTAGACCAGCTGTCCTGTGGTCATCAGAGACCGCGACCGCTCAGAGACAGCTGGACACCTCTCAGTTAACTGCAACTCGGACCAAAGCTTAGATTGTTTTCTGTGTCATTCTAACAAATTATAATCCTCATTATGAGACAGATTTGGTTATGTATGCGCAGGTTATCATGTCCCTGAGAAGTTATAATAACTACTGACAGCCTTGAATGAAGGTTTAGGTTCACCTTTCAACACTGGCATTATACAGGGACTCCAGCAGAAGAGGCATTTTCAGCCTTGACTTCTCAGTCCCTCCAGCGAATGCCTTCAGAAATCTAAATCCCTCTCATTGGCTAAGAAGGACAGAGGCAAAGCATGGATATTTAGACTTTAGAGGTAACATCATTTGGTTTCAGTAGCCTAAAAGCTATGCAATTCTCCCAGTAAAAGGTGTTGGTTTTGGTTTTGATTTTAGATTCATAATTTGTCTGAAAACCAGAGAACTCTGATGTATGGTGATATTTTAATAAGATGTGTCCTTGACTACTGGCTGAAGTCCAGCACTTTTTTGGAAAATGATCCCCCCCCCCACCGCCCCAGGGATGTTTCAGTTTAGGGCGGATGGATGATTTATCTTTCTCAAGTTCTGTCCAGTCCAAGTCCTCTGGTTGGTGTGGCCCCTCTAACTTACTAGCCTTGGCACCTTTGGTTTTATTGGGGAGGGAATACTGGGCTATTCTTTTGATGCCAAACTATAACTTCAAAAATGTGTATTGTTTAAGTAGTTGCGCAGATATTTTTGACCCAGTTAATTGAAATTAACTATTTTTCAGCTAATTTCTCCTTCACAGCCAAATCTAACTTATAAAACTTGCAAAAAAAAATGTCTCTAAGGCAGATACCTATGGATATAGCCTTGTTTTTCCTGTCCTATCTTAATGAGCTAAGTCAGGCTGTTTATGGATGATGGAACAGCTGCCAGATTCCACCCCCAGGGTGAGAGCAGCTCAGTTGTGGGAGAAGTGATGCTTAAAATTTGCATATTCTCTGTATACATACAGTAGGCATATATATAGACACACATCCTTATTAGTTTTGAAAATGACATTTCAAAACCCTACTTGCCTACTCAATTCTTTTGTAAGAAGGATGAGTGGGGGCCAGGTAGATGGGAAAATGACTTAGAGCCAGGCAAGAGAAGCTGTGGAAAGCTGAGGCAGGAGAGCATTACATTAATCAAGGAGGGAGATGATGGTAGAAAGGACCAGGATAGTATAATAGAGACGGAGTAAAGTAAATGGATTCAAGGTTATTTTGAGTATAGTCTGAAGGACTTGGTGACAAATCAGATGAGGGAAGTGAGGAAGAGATAAAGATGAGGTCCCCGCTTCTAGTTTGGGCTGCTAGGTGGACAGTAGTGCCATCCACTACAATAAGAAATGTGGGAGTTCATTTGAAGTCTAAAAACAGCAGATTAATTCCATTTCCTAGAGTTTAGGTTCGAAATGCCTGTGAGATGTCCAGAAAGCAATTTGATATATGGGACTGGGGAGCAGAGGAGAAGCTGGAGATGGTGACTGGGAGACATAAGCATGGAGAAGATGACAGAGCCATTGGAATAGGCAAGATTTCCCAGGGAGAGGACCTTGGACAAAACAGGAACACCAGCATGTGGGGTGTGGGCAGTGGAAGGAGAGCCAGCAAATAGCAAAACAGGTAGGGAAAATGACTAAGTGATATAGGAGGGAAATGCTTTTGAGAAGTCAAGGGATGTAAGAATTGAGAAGCATCCATTAAATTTAGCGGTAGGACAGTCATCACAAGCACTGGTGTCTGGAGTAGGGAAAGTGATAGCCAGATGGAAGTTAGCTGAGAAGTTGGTGAAAAGCAGAGGAAATGGAGACAAGAACTACTCAAAACGCTGAAGGAGCTGGGCTATGAAGAGGAGAAAAGGAACAGGGAAGTAACAGCAGAGGACTATGGGGGTTTCGCAGATTGTTATATCTTAATGGGAGAGATTTAAGCATGGTTTGAATGCTGCTAGGATGGAGACAGGGAAAAGGAAAGGCTGGTGATGAGAGCCAATCTTCCGACTGGATGGAGTGTGGCTGCTCCGTAAAGAAAGAACCTTGACAAAGAGGAAGAGGCTGCATCCAGAGAAGGACAGGAGACGGTCTTCTTCTGTTGGAACAGAGATCGCAAATGAAGGTCAGGAAAAGGAATCAAGGTGACTCTTGTCGTTCCCATTTGGTAACCTTGCCTCTTCAACTACCGAGAGGGTCCAAAGGGGTGTTGTGTACAAATGTAATCTGAAAAAAAAACCACTGTTGCTACATGATTACCCTAAAATCCCTAAAATTAAAGTAGCATATAAATATAAAATAGGCTAAATTTACATCTTTTCAGTCAGCATTTCCTAACATCTCTAACATTCTTTCAAAAATAAGCTACATGAAACATTGGCTTAAGCCACCTTTTTCTTAAAGGACACATAGCCAAATGCCATCAGTAAGTCTGGCCATGGGACCATGAGTACAGAAATGTGTCCATTGGGGGATCGTGAAGAATTCCTTCCTGACTCGAACCAGATAATGACACCCTGGGCCAGACCGGCTGTGGCTAACATCGGCTGTGCAGTTTCCCTTTTCCCTGCTAACGGAACCCTGATTTTGTTCATTTCCAAGATGAATAGTGTTCCAGCCTAAGAGATGAGTCTTGATTAGTTCAAACCAATCAGGTATAGAAATGGATTCGAGACACAATTCTTGCCAATAAAATTGCTAGGAGATGTCTGTTGGAAGGGGAGGGGCTTCTGGAAGAGGTATCCTCACTCTTGAAAAAAGCAGCACAAGGAAAAAGGATATGTTTTTCCATCTCTGAACGCATTTAGTGCCTGGAACTATGGCAGTCATCATCGGATCACGAGGGGAGCCAGCTCAGAAGCACAGAACAAAAGATGGAGAGAACTAGGTCCTTCAGTGTTGCCACGTGAACTGATCCATCAACCAACCCCAGAGCCATCTTTCTTTGGGATTTCTTGCTATGCGAAATAAGAAAAGTTCCTATTTTTCAAGCCACCTCTTTCTTCTTTTTTAAAGATTTATTTATTTTGAGAGAGAGAGAGAGAGCATGCAGGGGGAAAGGGCAGAAGTAGAGGGACCCCAGCAGAGACCCACAACCCTGCTGAGTGTGGAGCCCGGCATGGGGCTCGATGTCACCAGCCTAAGATCATGACCTGAGCTGAAATCAAGAGTCGGATGCTCAACCGACTGAGTCACCCAGGCACCCCCAAGCCGCTTCTAGGTGCAGTTGGTTAGTATGGCAGGATGGGGCCAAAATGATTGAACTGCAACAAGCAGGAACTAGAAAAAGGTTGAAATCAGGAGAAAGGAAGTATTTGTCATCGTATGAATAAGAATCATTTCCTTATAGGACTGTTTAAAAAAAAAAGTAAGAGGGAATGGGTTCTGGTGGGAAGGAAAGATAAAAAGACTGGAAAATGGGGAAGCTGCAAAGAATATATGAGACAAGTGCCATTAATGTCCCCTGGCCTCTCCACCGTTGGGGAAATGAACTGTATTGTCTGTATCTAATTCCCTGTGTGTCCTTGATCATTAACTTTTACTTCTCAGTCTGTGACCCATTCTCAGGCTCCGATGTCAGAATTCTACCAACTGTTCCAGGGAGAGAAAAAAACACAAATACCAATTACTCACTGACATCCACTCCTTCCAGGGTCAAGCACTGACAGTTCATTCAGTGGGTAAGACACTCTTCCCTGCTCCCACCAGAAAAGTCCAGATAGCTCCCGGGGGGGGGGGCTGCCTGTTTTACCAACCCTACTAGCTCATCCACACCTGGGAATTTAACAGTCATCTCCTAAAGATACTTCACGCACGTCTAACCTTCCTACTCTGTAATCCTGTTCAAGCGTCTCCACGGAAGCTCCATTTGAATGCCCCCCCGCCCCTCTACCCCTCTGCCTTTGCCGATAACCACGAATTCATCCTGCCCTAACACACCATGGTGCATCTCCACCCAAATACGCTCTCCTTACCCATTACCTAATTCTCTCTATGATGCGCATCATTGGACAGCCTGGGCTCATCTGAAGCCTCCCTTTCCTTCATTCCCAAAGTCTCATTTTGAAGTATCTCTCAGATTGACCTACTCATGTCAATTCCCATGGCCTCTATCGTGGCCCAACTGCTCTCACAGCCCCTGAATGGCTTCATTTTCATCTCAGCTCAGTATCTCTGATCCCACTCTCTTCCACTGCCACTCGCCTCGTCGGCGTGTCACCTTTCCAAGAACTCAGGAACCTTCCAGTGGCTCCCGCTCACTTATGGCACCGAATCTTGGGCTCTCCTGGGTGGGTTTCAGGGCCTTCCCTAATCTGGGTGAGGGTCCATCAAAGCCTTCCACTTCCTTCCAATGTCCAACACCCCCCCTCCTTTTCTTCCATTTCCAGGCTCCTACCACGTGTCCTTCCTGGGGGGTGCTTAGCACCTCCCTCTCTGTTCTCCTATTTCTTTGTGTTCCTCTAGGCCCAGCTCAAACCCACCTCTTTCCTGAACCCTCTGTAACCGCTCCAGCTCCTTCTCCTTTGAACGCCCAGCACCACACTCTTTGCAGCATCCAATCGTCCTAATAAAAATCCATTCTCTCTCCCTGGCTGGGCCATAGTGCTTCCTACACAAACCATGTCCTATACTTCTTAGTGTTCCTCACAGTGCCTTTGACAGTCCTGAACACTAGGTAGGGATGAGATAACTATTTATGAACTGGATGGTCAACATTCAAGGGGTACCTTGCCTCTTTTCCTCATCACTTCAGTTATCGGGGTGCTTGGGAAGGGAGCAGGGACAGCGAAATCCTGCGGTCCTTGGAAAGCCTGACATGCACTCCAGATGATACCTGGTACAGCTGGAGGGATCCCATTTCTGGAATGGAGACCGTCATTTTCCAAAGAAGCATCACCGAGCTGACGGTTCCCATCAGTAAGGAACCAGAGCAGAAGCCAGAGAGGAGCATGGGGCAGGGCGGTCTGGAACTACATTTACCACTGTGGCTGCCTCCCGTGGAGTCACTTGGTGCCAGGGGGGGCGGGTGCGGCTTGTCCATCAGCATGCCGGCTGGGGGGGTTCCTCCCAGGGGGACAGAGGGGATGGAGTAAGGGCCGGGGACACCGGAGACAGAGGGAGGGTACCCGGCCTTTGCTGCTTTCCCTGCTTCATACACTGTGGAGGGAGATGAAGAGCAAAAGAGATTATATTATCGTCCCACCCTCCACAACCCTCACACCAAGACTGCCTGAGGATGCGCTTAAGGGAGCTCCTGGACGTGTGTGCGTGCGTGTACACGTGCGTGTGCGTGTGTTCTCTTAGGCCTGAACGGATTCATCAGAACCTCTCTCCCCCACTCCCTTGGACTCCTCCGGCTCCTCCAAAAGGCAATGACATAAGGAATTACAGGGTTCAGTAGCTGGCAACGGAGTCAGTAAGTGGTCCTAGGAGCGGCCATGGCGGCCTCCCCAGTGCCAGCAGCAGCCCACCCTTCACCACGCGGTCTGTAGGCTGCCTCAGGCCCCCTGCAGGAAGCCTAGCGCCAGGCCACCCGAGGCTACTTCCGGGAGGATCCTAAGCCTCTTCTAGAGAGGCCGGGCAGGCACGGAGCTCGCACGTGGTTCTGCTCTGGGATCTCAAAGGCAGAGCAGATCACCGGACCCCTCCTGGAAGCTGCTTCATGCCTAAGGACACTGAAGATGCATGTATGTCTTTCCCCTTCAGGATGTGTCTGGTTTCTGGCATGGGGCGCCCAGCTTAGTGGCTCTACGGGCTCGGCCCTTATGGTACAACTGTGCATCCCCAGATGAGGACTGGTTTGGTGGGCCACGTTGTCTCCGGGCATAAATAAGATTCCTCCCCGGCTGGGTGGTACGCCGAGCCTGCCGTCTGCTCGCTCTGCTTGTAGAAAGCGGGGTTCTCTGCCTTTGAGAGGCACGACCCGAGAAGATTTCCTCTAGCTTGAGTGCGTGAAGAGCGGGCAGAAGCCTGACCCACAGCCTGACCATCGGGAACCTGCCCTTCCCTCCGTGGGCTGCGCCAGTGTGAAATGCAGATGCGGGGGCGGGTGTGCATAAGAAGTAGGAGAACTGCATGCAGGTGAGGAGGCAAACAGGGACGGGCAGCTCAGGGAGCCGGGGGCTCCCGGCAGGGGCGTGAGCCTGGAACAACCAGCTCCGGAGGTAGAAGGAAAGGGGGAGAAGAAAGTCGGGGCACACAGCTCTCTGACGGAGACATGACCTCTCCTCCGGTCGCTCTGTCTCCCTGCCGGGCACTTTACTCACAGGCCTGAGGGCAGCAGCAGGACTCCGGACAACAAGGGCAGCGGATGTAGCAGCAGCAGCTGTGCGGGCAGCACTGGCACCAGCAGATCCCCACCAGCACGAAGAAGAGGAAGACTCCCAGGATCACCAGGCCGACGAACACCCACTCTGGAAGGACGCACAGAGAAACCCACGCTGGGGGCGGCCCGCCTCACGGACAGGGACTCTCCTTGCTGTCTCCTGTCAGAGGAGTGGGTAGTGGGGGCCGGGGGTCCCGGGGAAGGAAGCATCATGACAGGGCACAGAGCGCCCCCCCCCCCCAGCTCAGGGGGAACTCTGAGAGCGAGAAGTGTAGGCCTGATGCGGTGCGGGTATGGAGAAGAGGGAGGAAGGGTCCCTAGGGTCCTACTGAGCACAGTGTAATGACCAGCACGGAGTGGTGGCGGAGTTTTGGGGCCCCTTCCTGGGCAAAGGGCTTACCATATCCACCGTAGTGTCTGAACAAGGATGGGACAGGATCAGAAAGACTCCTGGCTGGGGAGAGGAATCTTGGTAGCTGAGCTAGGAAGTGGTGGGTTCTGTGAATATGGCCCTTTTGTCGGCAAGTTATTCTTACCTCTAAAAACATGAGTCCTGAGACAAAGTTCTGTGTCACACAGTCTCAAGATATTTAGGTGGTCCGGGTCTCTCCCTGCTGACCACCCCTGTAACCCCTTTCCTGTCCTCAGCATCAAGGCTGAGATCAAAGCCTTTTGCTTCTATCTGTGGAACAAACCAGGGAGAAAACTAGAGACAAAGACTCGGGGAGACAATGTGCTGTCCCCATGCCCCAGGAGTGGCTTGGTTTGGTCACACTCAGGCCGGCTGTGCTAAACAGCCAGCAGGCCCACAGCTGCAATGGCTCCGGGCTCTGACGACTGTACCAGCTGTTAACTTCTGCTGTTTTCACACCTCTGCCAGGGGCCGAACACAACTTCTGGTTCATTTGCTTGTCCACAAGATTCGAGAAAGGAAACAAATTCCATCTGGCTTACATAAAAATGGTGTGACCCTCCAGTGACTTTACGTCATGCTTTCAGGACTTGGCTATAAGACCCAGCTTCCCACTGGAGGCCTGGGATGGACTGGATGAGCCAGGATTGCCTTTGAAAGTCCAAAGATTAAAGTGATTCATTTTGACGGAAGGCCACCTACCAGAAGTCCCTTTACAATGAACTTTAAGTACATATTGTTTTTATTGAATTTTGGTTGTTAAATATTCCTTCAATTAAATGGACATTCAGTTGGAGCTTGAAAATAGGATATTTTTGTTATATAAAGGGTTTTGTCTTAATGCTAAAATTATCTTTGTTTAGAACATGATTTCCTCAGGACAAGAACAAGCAACTTATGTTTCCTGAATGTCCGTCCTCACTCTCCCTCTGAAATACACTCAAATTAACCAGGTCACCATCTCTTCAGTGAGGAAATGAGAAGGTCTTGGGTCTGGTGAGAATGGTCTGGAGAGCATTCCTGCTGAGGACAATAGATAGCTGAGGGCTTTGTCCCAGTCCTCAGCTACAACACAATAACATTATATAGCCTAAGACAGGAGCCCTGAGGAACAGAGCGGTGGTGTGGCTCTGAGGCTACAATGAGGCTCAGGCAGACAAGGTTAAAGACTGGCAGTTTTATCTCAGAGAAACAAAAGAATGCTCTCCATGAAAGGATTCTTGGGAGCCAAAAGGGAGGGATATTCAATGGACAAGGACCAGATATGAAAAATACAGTAACTCTTTCTTGGGACCGGGAGATAAAACATCTAGTTTGAAGTAATGCTTTGTAACGTTGTTTGTGGGTGTGATGAACAAATGGGTACAAGCAGACACAACTCTGGATAAGGGGGAGTCACAAAGAGGTGTCTACATGTGTCCCTGGGATCAACATTTATATGAAGAACGTCCGTATTTGGGATGGCCAGCTAACGGCAAAACAGGAGAATTCATGGAAGAATAATTAGTGAAACTCAACTGTAAAGACTTCAGATGTTTTAAAACCTGAACAAAGTCAAAACCAATGGCCAGGAATATTTTGTATCTCTCTGTTGCTCCCAACACTTAGGCAGCTCTTAGCCCTTTGCCAGAAGCCGTCTAAAGCAAGTCGGAATCATAGTCTTTCCCATTCCCTGAGTTTGCATATGTCCCTTCCCATAGCTCATTCTTATTTCTCTCCAAACCCGCTTCCATTATGGACTCTGGGGCTGCGGCGAGCTGAGGCTGGCTGGTTTCGGCTGGTGCATTCAACTGAAGCTACAGAAAACGACAGGGTGCACATTTGGGTGTTTCCCTGACATATGGTCTATGGATCCCAGGGACTTAGGGGGTCCAAGAAGCTCCTGGAATTGCAAAGCAATGTAGGTGTTCACATGTGTACTTCTCAAGGGAGGTGGGGTATGTTACTTTCATAAGGCTTGGAAATATGTTTTGATCAAGTTATGAAAGGTAATTCGGAGCAACACAATTGTACCCTAATGAACAGATAAACATTTAATTTAGGGAATAAGGAAATGCGATAAATAGTAACTCCACTAGGGATACTTATAGCTGTCTAGGCACAGCAGAGATACTGAATGGTTCCAAAGATTGCCAAAGAGCCTGCAAGGCCCAACACTGAAGGGGCGGGTCCCCGTTGCAGCCCATTTTAATTATCATGATTCTTTTAGGGCCTGGTGACAGAAGAAACACAATCTAAAAGTCTTTTCCACTGGGCTTAGTTCATCCTGGAAAAGACCACAGAAACGTACAGACAAATGTGCAAACAAGTTAAAGGAGCGATTAGCAACTAATGCAGAAGCAAGACAGACAGAGTGACAGCAAATTAAGCAAATAAAGAGTGAAATGACTGAGTACCTGGCATAATTTCCACAGCAAAACTGGGCAAGAGGTCAGCAAGCAGCCCTGTCCTGCCTGGAGGAGGTAGAAGGAAAAGAAGAAGGGAAGAGGTTACTCCAAGGGCAAACACAGCCTGAAGCCTGGTGCCACTGGCCCCGTCCCTCCACAGGGCTGGGGACCCAGGCTCTCTGCGGTAGGAAGGGGCAAGTCCCAGAGGCTGAGCTCAGTCAAGAGAAAAGCTTTCTCCATCCCTCTTCGGCAGCCACCTAAGTGAACTTTGCACGGAAACCAGATGGAAGCACAAACAGAACTTTCTCTCCAACTATTTATAGAAGGAGGAAATCTCTGCTTCCCATATGAAAAGCCCTGCTCGAGCAGACTGACATACGCCGTCTCCATTCATGTACACAGTCTTCTCCACACATGTGATCGGAGAGTCAAACCCAGCTGTATCCAAACGTGCAACCCACATTTTCATACATCCATACACAGTCCCATGTCCATAGCAAAGCACAAGTCCGTATCTGGTTTTAACCCAGAATGGTCTCACTATGTGACTCTATTTATAGCCTAAAGATGCTTCAGTGATTAAAATTCTAAAAGGCAAGGGGAAGCTAAAGCTAGATGACTGGCATGCTCCTCTACACCCCTTCTGGTTTCAGAAATACTCTCTACATATGTATCTGGTGCGGCTTTTCCATATGGGACCTGAAGCTGGCCTTGTATGAACCCAAGTGCCTTCTGCGTGGGACAGCAGGTGAGCTGACAGGCTGGTGTCAGAACAGGTGCCCGTCAGGGCTCGGGAAGGCAAAGAGCTGCGCAGGAGCCAAGACTGTGGAAGACGTCGGGGATCTGGAGGTTCATCCTTTTAACCACTAGCCTGATGTATAGGAAGAAGCACCGAATGCTTTTCCCACGTTCTCCTATCACGCTAGACGTAAAGACCCTGATACGACTTTCGCACTTGTCCCGGATGTTTCTACCACACTGAAGCCTTGCTAACGAGCAAGCTGCCCTACGAAGCACCCCTCCGGTTGCCTCCTTCAGACCCCTAAGGCAAAAAGCCGCTGGCGTACCACTCAAGCATGAACTGAACCTTATGACTTCACTTATGTGCCTAACATACTCCCCTAGAATGGCTCTGTCCAACAGAAATATAATGTGAGCGACACGTTAACTTTAGCTTTTTTAGTAATCACAGTAGAGAGTAAAAAAAAAAAAAGAAAAAAAAGAAAGAAATTTAATACTATTTTTTTACTTATACCAATGTAGCCAAACTATTAACCCTTCAAAGGCTCAGGAGCCTACTGAATACAGTTTGAGGGCGTCTGTTTCATGCATATGGAGTTGGTTTATTTAGAAAACAACTTAAGTTTGCTGAGTTGCATTAGAGGAAAAAGTTACCTGTGTGTGGTTCATATTTTGAATCTTAAGATGGGTCATGATTGCTCACTGGTCCCCTCCTCTCTCAAACCACTCCATTGAAAAGAAGCACTGATCAAAGTCAAAGAAAAAGCAGCTCCTCTGGGACATTTACTTTTTCTTGGCTCTCCCTAACTAGACAAGGCCAATGTGGTAAAATGTGTCCTGCTTGCATGTCCTGCGTGGGTAATGGTCCCTCATTTGAAAAATTAATTGGGACCACAAGACATTCCAAGGGCAAAGAAGTATAGAACGAGGGACTTAGGCTCACTCTGTTCTAGGTTTCGGCGAGAAGGGCTTCTTTCTGTCTGTCTTTTATCTTGTGCAGCTAACGTGCCAAGGATTGCCTGCTGTTTGCAGGGTCTACTGGAAGAACACTCAGGAGCCAAGTGGAACACTGGAAAAAGGCATCCTGGAGGAGAATCCGTATGCGAGCCTTCGGCCTAAGACTTCCTGAAATGCTAAGAGGAGCCGCTGAGGCTCACAGCAGTCCCATCCCGTTCCTGGGACGGAATACCAGACAGGGATTTGGGACCAGAGTCTGATAAGTGCAGGCATTGGTCTCATCTGGAGTGTTCTGCGCACAAATGCCTCTTGGAAACTCTACAAGGAAACAACTGGGCAAGGACTGGGGAGTTGGGGATGTTGGCCATCTCTTAAAGACACAATTCATACTAACTACCAGCCAACGGCCAATGACATCTCTTGTTCCAGCAAGCTAGCTGTCAGAGAGTCACTTAATGATTTTTTAAAAATCCAGACAATTAGCACTTCTGAATGCATCTCTTATTGTAGCTAGTGAAGTGAAAAAGCTTTTCTTGCATCTACCCTTGAGCTCTCACACCTACCAATGTTTTAAACATCTCTAGATATGTGGTAGCCCATAATTAACCACATTCATAACTGAAATATTATTGATGATATAAACTGCAGATCTGTACACCCTCACAGGGTATTAGCCATGTGATAATTATGAACTATAAAAAAATCCATATATTTGGGTGCCTGGGTAGTTCAGATGGTTGAGCACCTGCCTTCAGCTCAGGTCATGATCCCAGGGTCCTGAGATCGAGTCCCACATCGGGCTCCTTGCTCAGCAGGAAGCTTGCTTCTCCCTCTCCCTCTTCTGCTCCCCTTGCTTGTGCTCTCTCACTCTCTTTGTCAATAAATAAATAAAATCTTTAAAAAAAAAAGAAAAAATCCATATATTCAAGGAAAATATGGAGCTCATACACATGATAGAGATGACATTATACTGGAGAAAGCAGTGGACTGGGAGGCAGGGTACTGGGAGTCAACTCTGTCCTTTGTTTGCTTGGTGAGTGCCACAGGCAAACCTCTTTCTAGGTCTCCATTTTCTCCCTAGTCAAGTGACGAGATTAAATAAAGTGATCTACAAAGAGAGAGACCATATGTCCGGGTGTGTGCCTGCTGTCCTGGTGTAAATATTAATAGCACTACTTTTAACTCTCAAGGTGTCCTATTTTGGACAATTAATTATATGGTCACCCTATCTATAATATTTTTGGCTCTCAAATCTGGTGCTTAATGGTTAGAGTTGCAAACTCAGCTGTTTACAGGGAGAGCAGGTAAGGTACATAAATGCAGCTAGCCGAGGGTAACGCATCAGGGAGCATTTAGGGGCAAAGCGAATGGCCGATTACGTGTCTCTGGGGCTACTGCTGTTCACCTCTAGCCAACCACTGCCTGACAGGACTGTGTCTTCCGAGTTGCAGGTCTTCCTGTTTCTCAAGATTAGCCAGACCACAGACTTTTTGTGTGAAATATCCTGATTTTCAAATGTTGGCAACTGATTCATAGATTTTTTAAAACACTGGACAAGCCATACAAAATATATTTGGGGGTTGTGTAGGGCCCAGAGATCACATACTTGGAACCACTGACAGGTATAAACAGACCAAGATATTTGTGAGCACATAAAACACAAAAGCTGGATTTCCCCACAGGCTGTTTAGATCACTTTGCTGGTCTTCTGACATTGTTTCTACACACAACAGAATGTCCGTGAGTGTGAGCTCTAAGAACCTATGTTCGAATGAAAATCTGAAAGCAAGAGTATTACACACCAAATTGTTGGCTCCTTATTTCTGGAGAGCTGGAATGGGCATCATGGAAGAACAATGAAGGGATTTTCATTTCTAGATTATATGTTTGCATTTGTAATTTAAAAACTTGAGGATAGGGTGGTATCAAAAATATGGACAGGAGAGCCACAAAGCTTGTCACTCCGACAGAGAGACATACATCAATCTTCTCATTCTCCCTCAAGCAACAGTTAGTAACTGATGCTTCAGGGAGAGATGAAGTTTTCCCATAATGCACCTGTGTAGTGCTGGCCCCAGGATGGGAGATAGGATCTTGCCATATGGTGGGTGAAATGTAATGTCTTCAGACTTCAGGACCCTGAAGGGGTTTGGGGATAGCAGACAATATGACTATATCATGTCAGCAGCGAGAGAGTGCAAATCTCTATGGCTTTTATACCACAATTTATATTTTCCTGGGGCTAAGGACATTTTTAAAAGTAGATTTATGCTGGAGTCATATATTTCCGAAAATAATTTTGCTTCCAGCTTCTTGATGAACAGTTCCTAAGAAATGCTGTTGCCGGCTGGAAAGACTCTATTTTTCTTCCTATTCTAACACATCCAATGAAGGTCTGATCTTAGAAAGTCCAAACAATTCCAGTAAATCCTTTCCAGCTTTCAGTAGCACTTTACCAACACTTGTGAATCATTGCCATTCTTCCAGGATTCAGCTTACGAGGGGCAATTACAAGTCACTTTCATGTCTGAGAAAAGGGTAGAGAACAGACCCTGTGAACAGAGGGCCACATCTATGCTTTTCAAACCACAGCTCAAACTATCAGTAGAAAATACCGGTCTTATGTAAGCACTCAAAGCAGTTTTCCCCAAACCTTGCAGAATCCATTACTTTTAAGACATTTCCACATGAATAGACCAAACAAATTAGGCATACTAATAGTTTGCACATGTACACACAAACACAAGCGCCTGCTTCCTACAATTACCATCACAAACTCTGCAGCCAAAAACATCCTCATACTTGGTGTGAATGATCCAGGCAGAAACATGCGTTGTGACTCAAACAACCTGTATCTTAGCTATGCAAGTCCCTATGTCAGCTATTTCCTGCCACTGGCACACTGAAGTGACCCCCACCTGGACTCTTAGGACATATTCCTGAAAACCACTTCTGGAAAACTCCCTTCTGGAATGTCTCCAACTCAACTCGTTCATCATTCAGTCAACAAAGAAAGGTGGGCTGTGCTGGTGGACATGAACAGGAGAAAGGCGGGAAGCCCGTGCCTGAGAGGCTCCCTGTCCAGCCCCAGCAGCCTGCCCAGCAATGTGGGTCTAAGAGTTGTAGTTACTGGCTGCTCTTCCGCAAACTTTCTAAGGTCAAAGGACTTTCCTCCTGCCAAATCCAATTATCATCAGCTTTTTTCTTTTTTTCATTTCTTTTCTTTTTCTTGACATCCCATTCCACCTGGTCCAGAGGCCTTTCCCCAAAGACACAGTCCTTGCCTGGTTTCCCACTTCTCTTCTCCTCGGGGCCTCATCTTTGCACATTTCACAAGCCACGTCCTGGGCTTGGGACTTCCCCAAAGT